GAGGAGGAGGAGGAGGTGGGAGAGAGAGAGGAAGGAATCCTCGGGAACTTACCTCGATCCAAACGCCTCTTTTACGCTTTTAATTCCCCCACGCTTTCCCACGGATCCGAGTCGCCGCGGCACCGGTAGAACCTCGGTCCAAACTCCTGAGCGTCTCGTCCGCTCGGCTCCGCTGTGACGGAAAGGCTTCGGGCGCGCGCGGTGCGTAAAATGCGCAGCGTCTCTCCAAGGATGCGAAATATGCGCGGAATGGGAGCAGGAATGAAATGAACGCAGCGCGGACTGAGTTGACTGGGGCGGGGTGAGAGAGAGAGAGGGGGCTGGCGTCACCCTGGATGAAACGGAGGGAGAGATGGGAGGATGGGTGGAAATAAAAAAAAGGAAAGAGGGAGGAGGAGGAGGAGGGAGGGGGGAGGGAGGGCCAAGGTAGGTAGGTAGGTAGGGGGGAGGAAGGGAGGGAGGGGGGAGGGAGGGCCAGCGGACTGTGGGGCTGCGTTCAACAACAAAAGAAAAGAGTGCAGCGACTAAACTCCATTCAGGAGGAGGAGGGTCCGGATAAAACAGTCTGTTGTTCCTGACTGACAGCCAATCAGATGAGCTGAACATAAAAAACTCCTGACAGCAGCTTTTATGAGTTCATTTAAAAACTTTTCTGTCAAATAAACAAAAAATTCAGTTTCTTTCGTCAGATAAATGAGCTCTATATTTTGCAGAAACTTTGTTTTACAACTTTGGGTCAAATTTGGATTCTAGTTTTAACTCAACAGGGTCAGGTTGTGAGTTTGACCAGGGGCGCCACCAACGGGGGGCTGGAGGGGCCACCACTAATAAAAGAACTGGTGTTTCCTCTATTTCTGCCCCCTTTGATCAGACAAACTCATCCTGAACCCTAAACTTTGGTTTGGTGGATATGTTTAACATTCCCTGGCTGTTTGAGATCATTTATTAATTAATATAGAATATCTAAATGATTTCATTTCATTTTTTGTTTATTTTTAACAATATCGATCATGAAAATGTCATATATTTGCAGATGGGTGTTTAGAAACATGAAAATAAAGTTTTAAAGTGCCTGTGACATGTATATTCTTCATATACAAAAAGTCAAAGAAAACATTTTATATGCAAGGAACTTGGCATAAAACACTTTTTTACTCTTTTTGTTACACAACCAGCATCTTTTCTTTTGATTGCTTCAGCAAAAGTGAAACAGGAAGTGACAACAAAGGGGAACTCCCCGGTCTTTGTTTATTGAAACAATATTTAAACTCTGACACTTTTCCATCTCTCTGATAGTGACTCAAAATAAACTGAAGAAACATCAAATTCTTGTCTACGGTCTGTGTTGTCGAGCATTTTAGTAACTCTGTTCACATGCAGACATTCCCCTTTGACATCACTTCCTGTTGCTTCACGTGTGAATATCTCAACAACCGTTCATCTGAGCGGCGTAAAATTTGTTTTGTGATACGTTATAAATGTTATCTTTCCAAAACTGCATTCACATTTATTACAAAAATCTGATGTTGCAGACACTTTAAAGACTGAATCATGAATCATAAAACAAACTTTGATCATAATAAAATCATTAAAAATGTTATTTGAAGCAGAAAAGCCCATCTGCTACATAAGGTTTAAGGTTATTTAATTCATTTTGATTTGAGAAAGCTTCCTGAACAGGAAATGAAAAGTCTTCAGCTTCAAACTGAAGTGTTGTCGTTGTTGTCGTACAGAAACTTCAGCTTAATTTTCTGGCAGATAATCTGTCAGATTTCTGGATTTCATTGTTTCAGATCCCAAACAAGTCACTAAAGACTTGAATCGTTGGTGAGAACATGTTTGTTTACAGAGTTTGTGTAAACAAGTCCTCGCAGCTCATCAGAACCTTAAATAAATCATCGCAGCCACTTCAGACCCCACAGATTGTTTTTTGGAGAAGCCCCCCTGGAGACGCCTCTTTTCAACCCTACGAGCATAAAACAAATCAGACCCTCTCCTCTCAGGTCTTTGAACGCAGCAGCTCTGCCTCATAAAGGAGTTGTTGTTTACTACGAAGCTCTGCCTTTCTCAGGTTTCATCCCCTCCGGCTCTGTAGGACCGTCGTCTCCTCAGGGGAGGGGCCGGGCCATAAAACAAGCACAGATATGCCAGAGTCACGGGCCCCGGAACACCTTCTGCAACCCGACACCGCGGCCGGCCGGCACGAACGCATTCCACATGGCTGCGCGTCGGGTGCGTTTGTGTGCGTAAGAAAAAAAAAACTCGATCAGCTGACTCGCATGTGGAGGTTTCTGAGACGCTCTCTCTTTTCTCAGAGGCGCGTGCGCTTTGTCCAATTTCAGACTCGGAGCAAAGCAAACAATTGAACATTCAGCTGGGTGACCCCGAGGTCAACAGTCTGACCCCCCGGATCTGACCTCACCTGGTCTCCTCATGTTTTATTAAGACCAGGAATCCAACATCCTCCTCAAAAAGGATCCTTAAACACACCAGCAAAATACTAATTTATGAAATTCTGGTGTGTGTAAAGTGTAAATAAAGACATTAACGACAGTCTGTAAACCTGAAAATGTCTTGTCTGGTGTTGATTCGAGCTGTTCATCAGTCCTCCTCGGTGAAACCTGACCGTATTTTTCTGCATCGACAGAGTCTGAGTTTGTAACTTTAGAAACACGTCACCATCTTCCTGCTGTCGGTTTGTGTGATCTGCTCAGGGAGGCAAGTTTTCTCTTTGTTGAAATGATGGAATCCATAAATCTGATAAAGATTACCTGCCAGAAAAATGTGACATTAACCTAAAACTGTCCATCTTCTTCCTCTTATCCGGGGTCGAGTCATGGGGGCAGCAGCCTAAGCAGAGACCCAGACTTCCCTCTCTCCAGCCACTTGGACCAGCTCCTCTGGGGGAATCCCAAGGTGTTCCCAGGCCAGCCGAGAAACATAGTCCCCCCATAGAGATAAAAAAGAAAAAATTCCCTCTGTCTCCCCAATGTGTGATAGGTGTAACATATCAGAGGGTACACTAACTCATGCGTTTTGGTCTTGCCCCTTACTAACTGGGTTTTGGATGAAAATATTTGACTGGTATTCTAAGGACTATAAGATCCCTTTATGACCTGAACCAGGACTAATAATCTTTGGATACCCTCTAACACCAGCAACTATATCTACTGCAGTGATGGCTGCCAAGAGAATAATCCTAAGAAATTGGAAATCTTCTGGTCCTCAACCATTCCGTCTATGGATGTCAGACATGTTGTCTATAATACAAATGGAAGAACTTTGCAAAGGCTCCAAAGATACTTTTTCTGTATTCTTGGCATCCCTTTCTTGAATAATTCACAAATTAAGCTAAACAATCCGCTAAAGACCCTTTCCTCTGTCAAATTTAGTATGTACATATACAATTGTACATGTGAGGAAGTATGTATAAGTATGTTAGTCCGTCCGTTTTCTGTTGCTTATCCGGGGTCAGGTCTCGGGGGCAGCAGCCTAAGCAGAGACCCAGACTTCCCTCTCTCCAGCCACTTGGACCAGCTCCTCTGGGGGAATCCCAAGGTGTTGAGAAACGTAGTCCCTCCAGCGTGTCCTGGGTCTTCCTCTGGGTCTCCTCCCAGTGGGACGTGTCCAGAACACCTCACCAGGGAGGCGTCCAGGAGGCATCCTAACCAGATGAGCCACCTCAACTGGCTCCTCTCCACGTGGAGGAGCGGCGGCTCTACTCTGAGTCGCTCCAGGATGACTGAACTTCTCACCCTGTCTCTAAGGGAGAGTCCAGACACCCTGCAGAGGAAACTCATTTCGGTCGCTTGTATCCACAATCTCGTTCTTTCAGTCACTACCCAAAGCTCGTGATCATAGATGAGGGTAGGAATGTAGACCGACTGGTAAATTCATCACAACGGATCAGTAGTGTTGTAGTACTAAAGTAGTAAGACCAAAACCGATCTCAAGACCACTTTTTGATTGTCTTAGTCTTGACTTGGTCCAGGCCCTAAATTTCTTGGTCTTGTCTCAGTCTCAATACACTGTGGTCTTGGTCTCGACTACAACACTACGGACCGGTACAACGCCCACATCACTACAGACACAGCACCAATCTGCCTGTCAATCTCCCGCTCCATTCTTCCCTCATTCCTGAACAAGACCCCGAGATACTTAAACTCCTCCACTTGGGGCAGGACCTCCTCCCCGACCAGGAGGAGGCAACCTACCATTTTCGGACTCAAGACCATGGTCTCAGATTTGGAGGCACTGATCCTAATCCTGGCCGCTTMACACTCGGCTGCGAACCGCTCCAGTGAAAACTGGAGATCAGGATCTGGTGAAGCCAACAGGACCACATCATCCGCAAAAAGCAGAGATGCGATCCTGAGGTCACCAAAACGGATCCCCCCTTGGCTGCTCCTAGAAATTCTGTCCATAAAAGTTTTGAACCTAAAACCTGTTAGCTAATTAGCTGTCTGCTGTTGCGAGTCGTTTTTTGTGCGTATGATTGTGTTTATGAGTAAATATAGGATCAAAGCAATTCCCATTGTGTGTATTATTATCCAAACTGCAAAAGGTAGCGCGACCATGTTGTACAAGACCTGTCCATCCGTTCCCCCATGTGTGTCATGTGTGTCTTTCTCTGAACAGGTGAAGTTTTGTTCTGCATTGCATCTTTGACGTTGTGTGCGAATGACAATAAAGGTGATTCTGATTCTTCTGAGATAAAAAAAAACTCGAACCTCTAAGAATAATTTTTGCAAAAAGCAAGCAGCACTTTTTATTTTAGCTCAAACCTTATAATTGGTGCACCCGTCTCAATCTGCTTAATCTGAGCCGTGATTTAGCGTTTTGGGTTCAGTATCTCTGCTGGAAACGACAGGGCGAGCCCAGTCGTTCTGTGAAATAATCTGCAGGAGCCGCCTTGGTGCTGGGCAGACGTCTGAAGGGGCCGAGGCCCAGCATGGGTCTGGAGACGTAAACAGTCAACAAAGTTTTCATTCCTAACGTGTTGACATGTTGACCTTGCTGCTGAATCACAGGAAGTCGTTACTTAACATCCGACAAACCAGCTGCTTTACTTCGTATGTTTAAACTTCCTCCGAGAAGCAAAAGAGAAACTTTAAACTTTTGAAAATAAAAATTTGGGACAGAAAGCGAACCGTGTCAGAGAGCTTCAAGCACTCGAGTTTCTGAGAAACACAAACTCAGAAGAAACTGTTTATTTTAACAGTTTTTGGTCGTGAAAGTTAAGATGTCTGAAAGCAATTAAACCTTAAATCCTATCAGAACCACAGAATCCAAAGAGCAGAACCACCTATGAGAGGAAATGGGTTTGTTGAGCTCAGGAAAAGA